TATGACAGAGTCAATTTCCTGGGTTGTTGTTGGTCTATTTAGTGTATCAATGTCTTCTTGTTTCAACCTGGGGAGGTTGTATGATGTCAGAAAGTTCTCCATTTCATTTGGGTTATCAAGTTTGTTTCCATATAGGTGTACATGGTAATCTCTGATAACCTTTTGTATTTCTTCGGGGTCAGTTGTGATTTGTTCTTTTGTATTTCTGATTGTGTTTATTTGGGCTTTTTCTCTCTTTTTCTTGGTCATTTTGGCTAGGGGTCTATCAATCTTGTTAATTCTTTCAAAGAACCAGCTTTTTGTTTTGCTGATGTTTTTTATGATATTTTTGTTTTATATGTCCCATATTTGAGCTCTTATTTTGGTGATTTGGATTATTCTGTTAAAGTTGGGGTTTTGGTGGTCTTCTCTTTCCAGCTCCCTTAGGTGATTTGTTAGGCTCTCCACTTGTGATCTTTCCGTTTTCTTGATGTGTGCTCATAGAGATATAAATTCCCTTCTTAGAACCATCCCAGAGGTTTTGGTAAAATGTTTCTTCATTTTCATTTGTTTCCAGGAATCTTTTAATTTCTGTTTTGATTTCAGTGTAGACCCAATAGTTGTTTAGCATCATGCTGTTTAGTGTCCATGAATTTGTGGGCTTTGGGGAAATGGTGTTAGTGCTGATATTTATTTTTATTCCACTGTGGTCTGAGAGTGTGCATGGCAAGATTTCAACCTTATGGAATCTGTTTATGCTTGATTTATGGCCAAGGATGTGATCGATCTTGGAGTACGTTCCATGTGGTGATGTAGAATGTATATTCTGTGGTTGTGGGGTGGAATAATCTGTAGGTCTCTATTAAGTCCATTTGGTTGAGTGTCAAGTTTAGGTTCTGGATCTCCTTGTTGATTTTTTGCCTCGATGATCTATCTAGGACTATTAGTGGGGTATTCAAGTCCCCTGCTATAATAGCATTAGAGTCAATATATATTTTTTAGTTTACTTAGTAGTTGCTTTATAAATGCTGGTGCTCCGGTGTTGGGTGCATACATGTTTAAGATGGATATTTCTTGGTGATGAATTGAACCTTTTATCATTATGTAGTGTCCTTTTGCATTTTTAAGATTTTTGATAGCTTAAACGTTGTTTTGTCTGATATTAAGATTGCAACTCCTGCCTTCTTTTGTGATCCATTTACCTGGAAACTCATTTTCTTTCCTTTAACTTTGAGTCTGTGTGCATCCCTTGTAGTGAGATGAGTCTCCTGGATGCATCAAATAATTGAGTCATGGTTTCTTATCCAGTTTGCCATTCTGTGTCTTTTCAGTGGTGCATTTAGTCCATTTACATTTAGGCTGATTATTGAAATGTGATTGTTTATTGCTGTTATGAGAGTCTTATAAAGTTTTTTCTTTGTTTGCTTGTTTTCTTTTGGCTTTGGAGTTGATGTATTTATGTGTCTTCAAGTTTCTTGTTGTGCTGTATTCTCTGTTGATTTTGTGCTCAGCTGTGCTCTTGGGAAGCACGTGGCCATTTTTTTCTTTCTTCTGTGCATACCTTTTTAAGGGTCTCCTGTAGAGATGTCTGGAAGCTGCATAATCTCTTAGGGATTGGATGTCTGAGGATTTTAATTCTCCATCACTGATGAAGCTGGACTTGACTGGATAGGAAATTCTTGGTTGAAATTGTTTATCTTTGAGGACTTTGACTATAATGCTCCAGTCCTTTCTTACTTATAGTGTTTCGGCCAATAGGTCTGCTTCTATTCTGGTTGTTTTTCCCCAGTTGGTAGTCAAATCTTTCTCTCTTGCTGCTTTTAGGATTTTTTCTTTTGTGCCTACGTTGTGTAGGTGAATTTCTATGTGTCTAGGGGTTGGTCTTCTCATTTGATGTCTTGTGGGGGTTCTCTGTATCTCTTGTGCTTGACTGATCACATCTCTGGTGAGATGGGGAAAGTTTTCTTGGATTACCTCCTAGAATACTTCCTTCAAGTTGTTCTCCATTTCCCTTTCTTCTTCTGGGATACCAATCAGGCATAGGTTCAGCCTCTTGATATAACTGCACATCTCTTGTAGGCTTTGTTCCTTCTTTCTGAGTCTTCTGTCTATGTTTTTACAGATCGGGTTAATTCCACGTTCTGATCTCCAAGTTCGAGATTCTTTCTTAAGCTAGATTAATTTTGCTTTCCTTACTTGTTATCTTGTTATTTATTTCCTGGATGAAATTTTTTCTTTTTTTGAGTTGGAGTCTCACTCTGTCGCCCAGACTGGAGTGCAGTGGCGCTCCCAGCCACCGCAGCCTCGACCTGCTGGGCTCCGGCGATCCTTCCACCTCAGCCTTCCGAGTAGCCGGAATTACAGGCATGCACTACCACGCCCAGCTGATTTTTTGATTTATTGTAGAGATGAGGTCTCGCCTGCCCAGGCGGGTCTCAAACCCACGGGCTCAGGCAATCCACTCACCTTGGCCTCCCAAAGGCGCGGGATTACAGGCTGAGCCACCGAGCCCAGCTGGATGAAATTTTTTATTGCCAAAATCTCCATTACAGGTTCTTTCAGTGTTGCATCTTGTCTTTCTTAAGTCTCATTCACTCTTTCCAACCATTCCCTACTTCCTGTCATATTTGGGGACCAGTCGTTCGTGACTTCCATTGTTTGTGCAACAAGGTCTGATTTTTCAGGAGTTTTGTCTTTGATATACTTGAAGTTGCCTGAGGTCTTCCTTTGGTTTTTCCTCATTTGTGACAGATCTCTTGTTTTTCTCTTTAGTTGCTATTCAGTGTCAGTGGGAAAGAATTTCCCTTCTGATGTTTGCTCAGTCCTCTATTCTTCCCTGAGTCGGGCTCTGGATTTATTCTATTTTGAAGTAGGATGGTGGATGGGAAGCTTTGCTGTCTCGTGTAGTTTTTGAAATTTGAATAAAGTAGGGGATGGGGTGCTAGGATTCAGAAATTACTTGCAAATTACAATGTTCACTTATTGTGGTATGTGTTCCCTGAGACCCACTCCCCACCACCACTCTATATGCTATGCAAAGCAGAAACAAATGCAAAAAACAATTGAACACACTCACACACAGACATACAGACACACACCCCCAAACAAACTGGAATAACAATAAAGTGAAGCAAACAAACAACAACACCACCAACAACCAAGAAAACTAAACATACACATGCCCAGCATAAAGTAAATAGAGAAGAAAAACAGAAAGACTGGAGAAAAAGAAAAAAAAATGGAATTCAGGCCAAACTCTCACATATATTGACACACACCTTAAATTATAAAAAATAAAAATAAAAAAACCCCAGAAGAACAAAAGAGCAAAAACAAACTATCAACAACAACAAAATTGAAAGATGCACACTCAATAATTCACATACACACATAAACAGAAAACAACAAATAAAAGAAGAAAAAGAAAAGATAAGATATTTATGGGGAGCAGATGAAACCCTCACATACACCTTCATGCATAAAGGAAAAATATTTTTAAAATAGATGAACTAACAGTCAAAATTTTTTTTAAATTTTTTTAAAAATTGAAAATTAAAAAAAACACCAGCTCTCTTGTGGCAGGCTTGGTAACTGTTCCTCTAATTGGGTCCTCTTCTGCAGAGCCACCTCTTTTACTCTCTCCTCAATGTCCGGAGCAGGGAAGGAAGAGGGGCAGTGGAGGGGTGGGGTTGTAGTCCTCCCCTCCCACTCTTGAATGGTTGGGGAGATCTCCGGTGGGAAGGTGCGAGATTGTCTCCTCCCCAGGTAGGAGACTGGGGGTGCCCCAGTCAGGCCTATCACAAATGGAGTTCTCCTATTGCTACTGACATCCAGGCTCCACCTGGGTTTGTCCCTCTCAGTCGTGGCCCAGCTGTGTGGGTCTGTCATTAAGAGGATTGCTGGGGAGAAGGGGGCTGGGATCAGCCCTGGACTCACCACTGATCTCTTTGGAGTCCTTCCTTGTCTTTTTCTGGCCTCATCCTTTGTCCTGCAGCTAGATCAGGGTAGGGTGTGGGGCACCTGGAACTCAGCATTCATCAGGTCCCTCGAAGTTTGTGCTTTCAAGATATTCCCTCTGGGTCGCAACCAATCCCTGAGTAGTTGATCCACCAGTCACAGAGATCGGATCTGTTGCTCGGTGGTGAGTGAGTCGGAGCACTTTCCTGTCCCACCTTCAAGATGGTGGTGGGTGCCTCTCTTGTCCTCTTCCATGGGACTTTGCCTCTGGACTCTCTCTGTAGCCCCTGCTGCCAGTGCCTTGCCAGGCGCTGAAGTGGTGAGGCAAAGTCAGGAGATGGCCGTCTCTCTCCTGCTGCACTGGTGAGGGAGAGCTTGGGGTGATATTTTCTCCCTGCCGCTTTTGTCCGACTAAAAAAAAGTGGAGCTCAGCTTCTTAAGTTTGTTCTTAATTCAGCTTCAGAAGTGATCCAAAGTGGATATCTGTTCCCTGCTCCTGCTCGCCACTGCGCAGCACAGCTGGACCATACCCAACAAGTTTCCTACTTCTGTTGCAAACATCTGGGAGTGCATCTCCCCACCAGGCACCCTCCTCCAAAATGCAGTGTCTTAAGAGCAAGGATCATGATTTGTTTATCCTTGTTTTCTTGTCCCTAAGTAAGAGCTAAGTACAAAGCAGATGCTAATTAATAGTCAACTGACTAAATGACTGAGAATTCAAGTAGATGGAGATAGCATTTGTGATTCTCAAATGTTAATTTTTAATTAATTTTATATATATCTCTGGGCCTTTGTGGGCAATAAATTGGACTGCTTTTTTATGGAAGGAAAAGTTCAAAACTGTGGGCACTACAGATATTTATGTATTGTTTTATATATAAATAAATGGTCATATATTTTGAATTAAAAAAAGTCTTTACTGAAGAAATACTTGTGAAACCTCTTATCTCACAAGATGTCCAATCCTTGTAAAACAGATATTTACATGATTTCTGCTGAAGTTATTAAATCCTATGATGATCCTCTGTTAATAAAAATCCTCCTTATTCTGTTTTGCAAAACAGAGTGAAGTACAGAACTTATGGAAAGAAAACTTGGATATTCTAGATGCTGCAAAAAAATATGGCTATGAAGTGGTTGACACATTCACTATAACAATGGGGCGCTACAAAGAATTTCTGCAGGGAAAGTGTGGCTGTCATTTTCATGAGGTATTTATACTGGCTTTCTGTTTTTTCATAGCTTTGGATTTCTAACTTTTTGTTGTATCTTTAATAACTTTGTCAGTCTTACTTGGCATGAAAAAAAACCAATTTCAGTCAGAGATTAAATGATGTGGTCAGCATCCTCAGTCAAGGTGCATAAGAATCACAACTTTGGCTCTACAAAATGAGATTGTAGATCCTCCATGGCTTAGTCCTCCCTTACATTTGAATAAAATCTTGGGTAGATCCCATAACTTTAACACCACTTTCAGAGAACAAAAGTTCTCCAATCACTTTCAGGCATAGGAGTGTCACTTTAGTACTAGAATTGTCCAGTCCTGGGTCATAACCACATGAGTCATTCCCTCCCCTAGCTCAGATCTCCCTCAATCTCAAAAGTTCCAACTAGGGGAGAGAATGCTCGTGGCTTCTTTGCTCTTTCTCCATCGTGCTTTTCGACTCTTCTTCTTCTACCTCTTTCTGCACTGGATTACAGTAGAGAGGGATGTTAAGGACAAGAAAGGTCTTGCTTAACCGGCATAGGCACAACCCAGCAGTGAGCTAAGTGTAGCATGCTACTTCTTTGTTTTTATTTTTAATTATTTTATTTTTAAAATGTGGGGTACAAATGAGGGTTAGGTACATACGTAGTCATCATACAGGTAAAGAGTAGGTACCCTTATTGATGATGTGTGCCCCCTCCTCCTGGCTGTGTTCCTCTACTGCCAATTTCTTTCTTATGGTATTATGACAAATGTTCAAGGTCCACTTATGAGTGAGTACATGTGGTACTCAGATCTTTGTTTATGTGATAGATCACTGAGTATTATAGACTCTAAGTCCATTCAAGTTGCTGCAAAGTTCATAATTTTGTTTTCTTTATGTTGCATAATATTCCATTGTGTAAATGTACCACATTTTCTTTATCCAGTCCACTTTTGATGGGCAGCATGGTTGCTATTGTGAATAATGCTGCAATAAACACGTGTGTACAGGTATCTTTATTATAGAGTGATTTGAGTTACTATAGGTATATTCCCAGAATGGGGAATCCTGGGTCATGTGGAAGGTCAATTTTCAGATTTTTTAGAAATTGCCACACTGTTTTCTACAGAGCTTGTACTAGTTTACATTCCCACCAACAATGTAAAAGTATTCCCTTTTCCCCACATCCTCTGCAGCATTTGTTGTTTTTTGAGTTATTGATGATGGCCATCCTGAGTGGAGTTAGGCGGCATCTCAGTGTGGTTTTAAGTTGCATTTCTTTGATGATTAGTGAGGCTGTGCATTTTTTCATGTATCCATATGTCTTCTTCTGAGAAGTGTATTCATATCTTTTGCCTATTTTTAATTTTAATTTTAATTTTTAATTTTTTTTGAGTTGGAGTCTCACTCTGTCACCCAGACTGGAGTGCAGTGGCTGCTCCCGGCCACCGCAGCCTCAATCTGCTGGGCTCCAGGTATCCTTCCGCCTCAACCTTACAAGTAGCTGGAACTACAGGCGCACGCTATCATGCCTGGCTAATTTTTGATTTATTGTAGAGATGAGGTCTCGCCAAGTTGTCCAAGCGGGTCTTGAACCCGTGGGCTCAGGCAATCCACTCACCTCAGCCTCCCAAAGCATGGGATTACAGGCTGAGCCACTGAGCCCGGCTTGCCCATTTTTAAAATAGGGTTGTTTGGGTTTTTTTTCTTTTGGCACATTTGAGATCCTTGTAGTTCCTAGATGTTAGACCTTTGTCAGATATACAGTTGGCAAATAATTTTCCCATTCCATGAGCTGTCTCCCCCTCTCTTGATGGTTTCTTTTGCTTTGCTTTTCAGTTTGATGAGGTCCCATTTGTCTATCTTATCTTTTATGGCATTTGTTTTTGAAGAGTTGATCAGGACTTAGTTACCTATTCCAATTTCCATAAGGGCTTCACCTGCATTTTCTAAGGTTTTTATAGTTTGAGGTTTTACATTTAGGTTTTTGATCTGTTTAGAGTTGAGGTTTGTGTATGGTGATAGGTGGGGATCTTGTTTCAGTCTTCTGCATGTAGTCAGCCAGTTTTCCCAGCACCATTACTGAATAGGTTCTCCTCTCCCTTTTGGTTGTTGGTGGAGGCTTTGTCAAAGATGAGTTGGTTGAGGAATTGAGGTTTTGCTTCCATAATCTCTATCCTGCTCCATTGGTCTATATGCCTTTTCTGATAGCAATAACAGGCTGTTTTGATTATTGTAGTTTTATGGTAGAGTTTGAAGTCTGGAAGTGTAATACCTTCCGTTTTTGTTTCTTTTGCTAAGGATTGCTTTGTTTCTTTTGCTAAGGATTGCTAAGGATTGCATTCATATGAATTTCTGTATTGTCATTTCCAGGTCTGAGAAGAATGATGTTGGTAATTTAATAGATATTGACTGGTCTCAGACTACTTCTTTCTTTTTAAGCAGTGTTTCGTGAACTTCCTTGGAGAACTGCCTCTCTCTCTCCCACACTGGGACTTTCTGGCTACAACTATCTTGATAAAAGGCAATACCTCTTCTGCAGCTGGATTCCTTCTTTGGCCCCCTGGCATTCAGCTGTCCATTACTCTATTGGGGCTCACGTTGCCTCTCCAGACATCCTTGTGAAATGCACGTAGCACTAGGCTAGCTTTACTTAGTTGCTTGCATTTAGTCTACAGAAATACTCCTGAATCCTTGTTCTGCCATTGTTGGAAATACAGTTCACTCCAAATAAAAAGTGTTCTCTCTCTCTCTGTCTCTCTCTCTCTCCTCCCCCTCTCCCCCTCCTTC